GTAATCACTGTACCAACACTATAGACTCAACCTGAAACCGCGATCTACGCCGAAACCCGCAGACCACAGAATCCGGACTCTGAAGATACTTTCCCAGGCCCCGAACAACGATGTGCAATCTAAACTGATCGCTTCCGGTCAAGGAGCACTGTGTTCACCACATCGCTGTTTGGCTCCTGCATCCGTGACAACTAGTTGAAGCAGCGAACATAAACACAGCCAAAACGTAACAGTAGTAGGAGTAGGAGCAGGAGTAGGTGTAGGGGTTGGAGTAGGAGTAGGGGTAGGAGTAAGAGCAGGAGTAGGAACAGGCGTAGGGGTTGGAGTAGGAGTAGGGGTAGGAGTAAGAGAAGGAGTAGGAGTAGGCGTAGGGGTTGGAGTAGGATCAAGAGTAGTTAGCAGTAGCAGTAGCAGTAGCAGTAGCAGTAGCAGCAGCAGCAGCAGCAGCAGCAGCAGCAGCAGCAGCAGCAGCAGCAGCAGCAGCAGTCGCAGGGGAAGTGGCAGTGACAGTAGCAGTAACAGTAGCAGCAATGGCAGTAGTAGTAGTAGTAGTAGTAGTAGTAGTAGTAGTGGTAGTAGTAGTAGTAGTAGTAGTAGTAATAGTAGTAGTACTAGCAGCAGCAGGAGTAGTACTACTAGTAGTAGTAGTAGTAGTAGTAGTAGTAGTAGTAGTAATAGTAGTAGTACTAGCAGCAGCAGGAGTAGTACTAGTAGTAGTAGTAGTAGTAGTAGTAGTAGTAGTAGTACTAGTAGTAGTAGTAGTAGAGGTAGTAGTAGTAGTAGTAGTAGTAGTAGTAGTAGTAGTAGTAGTAGGGTCAAATGCAAACGTGTACTTTTCAGGGCTAGAGGTTGAATTTAGTCGGCAACTCTATTATAGAGTCTGTCGGGAGCGTGGGTGCATACCGATATGGGACTTGTTGTATGGTCTTGTTGAAGGCTAAGTAAGGGCGGCAATTTCCTTCCGGCACGGAATACTCCGCATGCTTAGATTAATTATCCACGCGTCGCTGAACATCAGCTGTAAAGCCGAAACATAGGGGTATGTGCATACATGTATGTGAATGAAAAAGTGTGTGTGTATATATATATATATATGTGTGTGTGTGTGTGCGTTTTGATATTTATACTTAAGGTATGTACGTATCGTTGTGCATATATTAAATCATATACACATACATCCATATATATATATATACACTTACAGATTAAACATGCCTGCTAAAACGGAAGAATACGGAAACTGCGACACGTAAATCTATGTGCATGTACCTGTGTGTGTATATACCTATGCACAAATATTAACATGTATAGATACATTTGCAGATGTAGAAAACAAGCGTCTGCAGTATGTTTCCCTAAGGGTCCATGTACCCAAATAGCAGCACATTGGCCTTAATGTAGTCCCTAAATGGGTACTTTACGGCCAATGTTCTGTTATTTGGGCACATGGACCCTTAGGGTTTTGTGCAGGCGCAGGAAGCCTCCTGTCCAGGTAGGCCCGATGTCGTGGCAGGGGTCAGGATGCACCAGACCTTGCAGATGACTGTCTGGTGCTTAGTAGGGAAAGGGGGAATGGGTTATAGGGACTACTATGAGGGACCTTAAGGGACTATCATAGGGATCCATTCCCCCATTCCCTACTAAGCACCAGACAGCCAAAGGTCAATCGGCGAATATTTGTGTATACTTAGGACTTGCACGGGCTCCTTTCTAGGCTTTTAAAAATCAAAAGTCGAATCAATTTCATGTACATGTGTGTATATACATATAGATATATAATGCATAGAACCTATACATATATACATACATAGCTAGGCCCAGCTAGGCACATGGACGCTTGGGGGTCATGGGTGTGCAGTAGAGTTCGGGCTTCGGCGAGAAGCTCCCAGATGGTGAAACGGCTGAGGCCTCCCTCGACTCTGGTCTCGGGGTCTTGGGGTTTAGGGGTTTGGGGTTTGGGGTTCAGGGTTAAAGATTTAGGGTTTAGGGTTTAGGGGTTCAGAGGTTTAGGGTTCCAGGGGTTTAGGGTCTAGGGGTTCAGAGGTTTAGGGCTCCAGGGGTTTAGGGTTTAGGGGTTCAGGGGTTTGGAGGTTTAGGGTTCAGGGGTTTAGGGGTTGCGGGGTTTAGGGGTTCCAGGGGTTTGGAGGTGGAGGGTCTATGCAGGGCAGTATTCGAGGTTCAGGGTAGGGCAACGTACTTTCTGCTGCTCAGTTCCCAAATCCCACGCCATCACTCAATAGCGGGAAAACACAACTTACTTGTCGGGTATCATTGGGAACTAAAGGTTAACCTTTGGGGCTACATAGGGGCTATATAGGGATTGTACTACCCCAAAAAGGTTAAAGGTTCCCTACCCTACTACTAGGACAAACAAGTGACACCATGATAAGGAGGACGACCAAACCTGCAAGAGCCAAGGATTCTTGCCAGTTACGGCCCTTCTTCTAGCGACTCCTCTGCTGGGAGCCTTTAAGAGTTCAATCCTATATGGGAGTTTCCCTAAATTGAGGTACCTCATTCTGGGGTTCCTTATAATACGGATCCTATTATTTAGGGTACTATATCAGGGTCCCCTATTCTCGGAAACCCCCATATGGTGAAGGCAGCCGCCAGTTACTGCACTCATGAGCACTTGCTTCAAAAGCAGGATGAAAGAGACAAGGAAGCAAGAAGAGCTCGACACTTGCTCTCTCGCTTTCTCTGTCTCTGTCTTTCTCTTGCTCTGTGCCTGTCTCTCTCTCAACTTTCTCTCGTTCTGCGCCTGTGTCCCCCCTTTACTTACAGCTGAGGAGCCATACCGGGCAGAACTACGACGGCCAAGCATACCACAGAGCTCACGAAGCCCACCTTGTCTCAAGGAAACTTGTCTTGTGGTTGAAAGGTCTGGAACTCCAGACCACAAAGTCAGGGGTGCATGTACGCATGTACCCTGTTTGTATATACATTTGTCTGCAAAAGTACATGCAATATGTACGTTCATGGGCACTGAAGGGGCTTTTTGGCTCTGTGCATCCGTATGCGCTTGCTCTTGTTTGCTCTGGACTAGTACAACGAAGCCGGAAAGAAACGCACACCTGCGCATATGGACATGAAAACTCTTTCGAGCATGCACGAGGTAAACACACGCACAAACAAGCAGGCAAACAAGCAAATACACAGACACACGCACACACACACACACAGACACACATAAAACACGAACGAACAACCAACCAACCAAACAAAAACAAACAAGTGAAAAACAAACACACACACACAAATAAAGAAACACACAAACAGGGCAAGCAAGCAATCAAGCAAACAAACACAACCAACCAACCGAACAATTAACAAGCGGACAATCAAGCTAACCAACGGACGAATTAACTAACTAAGCTGACTAACTGACTGGCTGACTGACTAACTAAAAACATACCAGCAAACAATCGCACATACATGAACAAACAAACAAACTAATTAAAACAACTAAGAATCAACAAACCAACATACCTACCCACCTGCCCACCCACCCACCCGCCCGCCCGCCCACCCACCCACCCAC